AAAAAAAAAAAAAAAAAAAAAAAAAAAAAAAAAAAAAAAAGAATAGGAAAGGGAAAAACATTTTTTAAGACACAATGGTGGGGAAGTTCTGGTCAAGATGGCAGAATAGACGGTCCCCAGCATCACTCTCTCCAACAAATCAACTAATTTACAACTATAAAAATGTAACATCAGCCAAGCTGGGGCCACTAGAGCTCACGTGAAGAGGAGGAGAGGCCCGTGGAACTCATTAAGGCGGGAGAAACCATGATGAGAGAAAGAAGAAACTGCTCTCAGCATTCCGGGCCGTGGCCACCTTAATGCTGGAGCACATGGAGCAGGAGCCGGCAGAAGCCACAGCTGTGCCCTTTAGATGGAGTTACTTGGAGGCAGCAGGGAAGAAGAGGGCTTTGGTGGCCCCCAGGACAGCAAGACCACTAATAGGGTTCCCATGGACCCACGCAGGAGTGAGCAGCCAGAACGGCTGAAAAAGGGGCACCATTCAGAGGCTGGTGAGTCATCACAAGAGACCGGAGCAGGGCCTGTCCTACGGAAAGTGTTTGGAGCACGGGCGGTGGGGGAGATAGGCCCACCAGAAGAACACTGGGACACAGCAAGGACAGCCGACCCACCCCCATTTGGCACAGGACCACTCAGAGGAGACTGGTCAGGAATGCAGAATTGCATGGGGTGTGGTTTGATGAAAAAACTCAGGCCCAGATCAGAGTTTCTACACAGGTGCACCAAGTATCTGGAGAGCCAGAAGTACCTGTAAGGTCAACCATTAAGCCCTGAGCTGCACAAAAAACCTTCCCTAGGGAAACAGCAGCAAAGCAGCAGTTTAGCTCAACCACACAGCTCAAGTACTGGTTCCCACAGGAAGTTCCCCTTTGTTAGAAGCAAGCAAAGGACAAAAAATAAGTTCCGGCCCAGGCACACCACCAATGCCTTGGGATCCACCAGGGGACATGAGGTATGGAGCCTGGGACTGGACCCCCCCCCCACAACCAGGCACCCCACGCCAGTGCCTCAGGGCCTGCCTGGGGACACGGGGCACAGAGAAGGGGACCAGACCCCTGTCCCACAACCAGGCACACAGTACCAGCGCCTTGGGACCCGCTCGGGGACCCAGGGCATGGAGCCAGGGATTGGACACTCTTCAAAACCAGGCACACCACCAGCACCAAGGAGCACGCCAAAAACATCTCCTCCATGTGGGTGGCCCACCACAGCCACCACGATAACCATGATGCCACAACCACCACACAGATGGTCCGCCAGCCACTGGAGTGCGTTGACACAGGAGAGTCACCAGCAGAGATAAAGAAAGGAGGAGGATGTCTCTCTCCACATAGCCCATTTCAGAGTGATGGAAGAGACATCTGCTCTATGAAAGTATTGGGGGACCTGATCATGCCTCTCAGCATTGGACAGATCATTTGGGCAGCAAATCAACAGAGTAACCATTATTCTTTCAGAGGGAGAGAAGAAATCTAGGGTGATTAGGGGGGTAGGAAGGGGGGATGGGGAGGGATTGGACAAGGGGCATAAAGAATAATTACGATTTGTAACAATATATATGCTAGTAATATTGATTTGATCAACATATCTCAATGTTGAACCCAAAAAATATGTATAATCAATTTTGATTCAATAAAAATTAAAAACAATAAAATTAAATTTTTTTTTAAAATGACACAATGGTGGTTTATCCAACAGATATTTACTGAATACCTACTAAGGGCTAATCCAATTCTGTTTGACAGAAATGTAATGCAAACAACACATGTGATTTTAAAATATTGTGTACTTTTAGAATTTTTTAGAAATTAAAAAAATTTTTTCATAGCCCCATTTAAAAAAAGGGGGAAAATAGGTGAAATTAATTTGGTTTTTGCTTTGTGAAATTAATTTGAATAGTATATTTTATTTAATCCAATATATCTAAAATGTTATCATTTTTTTTTTTTTTTAAAGATGACCGGTAAGGGGATCTCAACCCTTGGCTTGGTGTTGTCAGCACCACACTCAGCCAGTGAGCAAACCGGCCATCCCTATATAGGATCTGAAGCCGTGGCCTTGGTGTTATCAGCACTGCACTCTACCGAGTAAGCCACGGGCCGGCCTAAAATGTTATCATTTTTTGCATATGATACTGGCCACATTTCAAGGGCTCGACAGCCACATGCAGCGAGAGGCTACCATACTGTTTTAGTCACTGAGGAGGCCAAAGGGAATAAAAGAAACAAATATATAACAAATTAGGTGGTGATATATTTGCATATTAATACAAAATGCACACATGACAGGAAGTTCACAGACCCCCTGCAGTCTCTCCATGGCTCCCAGGTTAAGAACCCATCATCTGGAGCTCATTATTTCTTAAAAATCTACTTTTACCAACACTTTACGTGCATTCTGTCTCTTTCAAAAGGCCAATAGCCAAAGAGAAAGAATCTTTCGCATTTAGAATAAGCCGTTGCCATATACAACACTCTGTAAAAATATTAAGTTGCTATGAGAAAAAGAATACTGTGTCACAAAAGCGAATGAAGAAAAAGGTCAGAATCACAAACCAAAATTGGAGTTACTTATAACCATTGTGACAGTACAGGAATGCTGAACTAAGATACAGTTTCTAAGATCACTAAGATCACTGGCATATACTCATCTTACCTGGATTTCCAGATGATTCCTTTTCATTACCACTATTATAGCTTAAAAATTTTACGGTAAATCTCTGTATCATTATTCCTAGAAATAAAAAAAATAAAAATATAATGTGTACTATTTCACTAGGAAAATAAATTATCCCCCTGTTATTTTCTGTACCTTAAAATTACATTTTGATGTGCAAAAAAATACTGCCTCTGATTAAATCATAAATACACATTTAAAAAAAGGCTGACTCGGTTTTATTTATTATAATTATGAAAATCTTGAAGAAAGAAAATATACTCTAATCTGAAAGCATTCTCACTACGCTCATCAAAGTTACCTTTCTGGTGGGCATTAATTTCTGCCCTAATAATTTTGACATTTATTTCACTGATTGTATTATTATTCCATCTGAAAATATAATGTTCTTCCACATTCACATTTCTGGAGTCTGATCCATTATTTAGAAGAGTTTCTGCAAATACAAGAATACTTTCATAAGTTAAAGACCCTCTTAGAGCTTAAGTCTATTACTGGTTGGTTCTCTGTGCCTGGGTAGCCTTCCCCATACTCCCCACCCCTGCCCAGCCTATCTCCAACTGCCTAACACAGCATGGTCATTACTTCCTCAAGGAAGCCTTCCCAGGTCCCATGAAGTCAGCGTTAGCTGCCTCCTGTACACCATCACAGTGCCCTGAATGAGCTCTGTCCCTTTCATTTCTGTACCTGCAGCACCTAGCTCACAGCTTGACAAGGAGCATACACTTGGTAAAATATTTGTGAAATGAAACATTATAGAGTATCAGATCTGTAAGAACAGGGGCCTGCTACCAAGCTCCCTACTATATTGTAGGAACTCCATTAACATTTGATGAAGTAATGAATAAATCAGAGAATTACAACACATTGAGAAGAAACACAAATAGTATCCTTCATTAAAAACAAAAGTCCTAGGAGCCAGCTGTTTAACTCAAAGCATGGTGTTATAACACCAAGGTCAAGGGTTTGGATCCCGGTACTGGCCAACTGCCAAAAAGAAAAAAAAAAGTCCTGGTAATAACAGCCAAACTCAACTTATTTGGCTATATCGCAATTGCAAAGTTTCATTATCAAAAAAATAAAAGAAGGCAAGAAGTGAAAGTGCTGTATTCTAAAGAATTCTTTACCTATCTGACAAACATTTAAGAAAATCTTCCCAGAACCCGAGAAGTAGAAGGGACACTGAAACTCCCATAATCCAGGACTATGAAGGAACTCACTCAAGGTCACACACAGTATTCCAGAGCAAGGCAAGACAGATTAAGGAACAAATGAGCTACTCGGATATCTTTCTAATTGTTGTGGACCTCTTTAAATTCTTAATAAAAATGTATTTTACTCTGGGGCTATATATTACTTGTAAGAAATGACATATAAATTTCTGTAAAAATGACATAAAAGTGTAAATTAAAAAAAAAAAAAAAAAGAATTAGGTTTTTAAGTAAATGCATGTATGGGGCAAAAGCCCTTGGACAGGGGGCCACAGCCCATAGATAGTGTGGCCAAAGCCCATCTAATCAACTCTTAATCACTGGTTAGGTACGGGATTGTATACTTTAATTATTTTAGAGATGAGAGGTAGTTGTCACATCAGTTCTGTTAAGAGATTTTACGAATTGCTGAAGGGAAAGTTGTGGAAAAAATGTTTGCTAGGGGCAAGCTGTCTGTTGGGGGAAATTTAGAGATAATTGTATTTAGATTTTATCATAAGAGTGTAACTTTTGTTTAAGGAGAGGTCATACTTTAGATAATGAACCAGTTTGAACAATTTAGCTCTTTACTAATTGTACTTTGGAATATCACTTGAATTTACTGATTTTACTAGTTTCCATTATTAAGATGTATTTAGCCATAGACAACTTTTGTAACATTGCCCATTTCCTTATGTCCTACTCTGATGATTGAATCCACTGATTTTTCTTGTAAAACTTCCTTGTCTTGCCAGTAAAAAAAAAAGGCTGATTTTGGGTCAGGCCTGCTCCCCTGATGGGTGGCAGTCCCCCCC